ATATATACACACACACACACATATATACACACACACATATATACACACACACACATATACACACACATATATGTACACACACACATATGTACACACATATATATGTACACGCACACACACATATATATGTACACACACACGCACACACACATATATATGTACACACATATATATATATGCACACACACACGCACACACACACACACACACACACACACACATATATATATATGTACACACGCACATATATAGTAACAGGTCGCCCCACCCAGTGTCATCTTTAGCGTTATCCACGACCTATGTGGGGCACCCTTGAAGTCCCCTCAAGGTTTCTCGTGTCCCCCTTTCTACTCATCTGCCACGTCTTGATGGAAATATTATACCGATGTTCTTATAAGTGGGAGACTGCCTACTGTATTTTGTATGTTGGGATTCTCCGCCACCATGGGCCTTCACCCCTGTCTCTAGCTAGGCCTCCCCATCTAAACCCACCAGATAGGGTTTGACTCCAAGGCTCTAGCAGAGTTCCCTCTAAGGTGTGCACGTGCGCGGCCGCACATGAGTAAAAGTTTGGCCGCGCACAAACTTTTTCAGACCGTGCACCCGCTGGGAATGGAGCTGGGCTGCAGTGTGGGACACTTAGTAAAGGTAAGCTCTTCCCCTAGGCGGAGGCGGGGGCTGGTGTGGGCTCTGCCAGCTCTGGGGAACTGCTCCGCTCACCCGCATCACCTAGGGGAGCGAGGACGCATGTGGAATCAGGGCCAGGAAGTGTAAGCACTTCCCGGAGCCGGCGGAGCCTGTGGAGCAGTTCCCCAGAGCCGGAGGAGCCTCACTTGGGGCAGACAGCAGCTCCTCCCTGAGGTGAGGCAAAGCAGGGATGGAGGCTGGGGTGGGGGCTGGCACGGGCTCTGCTGGCCCCAGGGAACTGCTCTGCAGGCTCCAAGAAGTGCTCCACTCCCCAGCCCTGATGCTACATGCCTCCTCACTCCCTGAGGCAATACAGAGGAGCGGAGTCGTTTCCCGGAGCCCACGCCAGCCTCCAGCCCCCAGCGGAGCCTCACTCAGGGCAGGCAGTCTCCAGCTCCCCAGGCTCCAGCCCCTTACGCCCCACTGCCTGCCCCGGGTGAAGAGTGAGGAGCTTACCTTTTGTAAGTGTCCCATGCCGCACCAAAAGGGGGAGGCAGGACCGAAGCGGGGCACTCACGGACCGAAGCAGCGCGCTCACGGACCACTACTCCTTAGAGGGAACATTGGGCTCTAGCTCTTTGGTCTTGAGGCTCGTGGCCCTCTTTTTTTTGCTCCCATCTGGAGCCTAGCCTCCCTGGCCTAGAGGCCCGCCCACCAGCCCCGCAGCCAGGGGGCCATAAGTTCAAAGCCGGGCAATGGCCTCGAACCTCCACTATCCCAGTCCAAAAAAAACACACTGCCACACCCCAGGTGCACCAGGCCACCCTGGCTTTTTTAGGACTGTGCCCTCTCTGGCGCTGGGGTCCCCACGCTGTAGTGGGGCCCCAATGTAGGCCTCCTCCTTCCCCAATAGCCTTACCCAAACCACCAGTGATTAATCAATCAAAAATTATACACAGTCTGTCCATGGGCTATAACTGCCACCAAAAATAGAATTAAAGAAGGAAGCATGCCAGCTTACATTTTCTCAGGGGTTTGTAATTCTGCTCCCCACCATCTGCTACAGTCCTTCTGGGGTTGCTGCCACTTCTCCGGGAGTCCTCAGTAGTTCCTCTCCTGCACCCACTGGACTGCTCTCCAAGCCTCTCCGTGGAGCTCTTATACGCACTCCTTCTCCTTTGGCTGCTGGCCCCTACTGCCGCCCAGCCCAGGGTTTTTATAGTTCTGGCCTGCCTGCTTCCAGTCACCTGACTAGCTGGCCATGCTCAGCTTTTAACCCCCACCTTACCAGCACGCTGTGCCCAGAAAGTTCTGGTCTTAAAGGGGCTGACCTGCCTCCTGGTAACAGGGTTAGGGTTCCCTATTACATATACATATACATATTCTCCTGCACCCACTGGACTGCTCTCCAAGCCTCTCCGTGGAGCTCTTATACGCACTCCTTCTCCTTTGGCTGCTGGCCCCTACTGCCGCCCAGCCCAGGGTTTTTATAGTTCTGGCCTGCCTGCTTCCAGTCACCTGACTAGCTGGCCATGCTCAGCTTTTAACCCCCACCTTACCAGCACGCTGTGCCCAGAAAGTTCTGGTCTTAAAGGGGCTGACCTGCCTCCTGGTAACAGGGTTAGGGTTCCCTATTACATATACATATACATACACACATATATATTTAAAAAACACACTGTTACATATATATATATATATATATATATATATATACACACAGTGTGTGTGTGTGTGTGTGTGTGTATATGTAACACTGTGTGTCTGTGTGTGTATACTTAACACTGTCTTTTATATATACATGTATATGTAACACTTTGTGTGTGTTTGTGTATAAGTAACATTTTGTGTGTGTGCATATATATGTAACATTTCACGTGTGTGTCAGTCTGTGTGTATATACACAATGTAACACTTTAAGTGTGTGTGTGTGTGTGTGTGTGTGTGTGTGTGTGTGTGTGTGTATACACATATATAATGTCCCTGGTAGGTGTTGTAAGGTTTGGGGACCTGTTCGTCAGTGCCTTGCCCCCCAGCGACGTCAGGGTGAAACCCTATTCCAGTGCCACCTAAGTGGTCTGGGCACTGCCCCTTTTCTTGTCTGCCACGTCTTCAGTGTTATTGTTGGGGAGACAATTCCCTGTCGGGGGCCCAGAGGGGTCTTGACCCTGGGGGTGTCTTCGTAGGGCTCCAAACCTCCCCTTTACCCCACCCTTACCACATTCTTGGCCTGGGTAGATGCTGCTCCCTGCAGGTCTTCCCCACACTGCCCACCTTGAAAGGGCTGGGTCTTCCTGGCCATTAACCTTCGGGGGTCCACCCCTTGTCTTCAGGCTGGTTTCCCCTCTTCTGGAAAATAAATGCGTCCCAGCTGGGGTCAACTGTAACTTAACTGAAAACACCAGCGTCTGCTGGTGGAGTTCCCGAGATTGTCTTCCTCTCTGTCTCTCTCTTGGAGCCCCCTTTCTCTCCCTTGAGGGCTCTTAGTCATCCCCTCCCCTCTCACATGCAGGGGTCCTGGGGGTGACCTTATGCCCCGTTCCTACCAGTTCTTCTGGTGTCCCTGCCCTAGAGCCCGGCTGACCTGAGGTCCTGTTTTCCTGGTCCTTCTCACCAGCGTCACCCTTCTCCTCCTTCAGGAGGCTCGCAGTCCTCTGTGCTTTGCCTTCTCCGAGGCTGTCTCAGGATGGTTGTGGGCTTGGGGGTCTGTCCTCAACCACAGTACCTGTGCTCCCAGTCAGAGTCATGCCTCTCCGCAGCGGCATCCCTCCTGGTTGCTGCCCTTCTATGGGGCTCCTTTGCCCTTGCCAACCCCCAAGCCTACCTCCAGCCTCACCGACTGGGGTCTCCTGGTCAATGGCTGGCTCCTTCCGCAGGGAGCTGGGGCTAGAACTGGAGCCTCCCAGCTCCGGAGCCAGTATCTCCCAGCTGGTGTTTGGTTTCTCTCTCCCTGGCTCACTTCCAGCTGGTTCCCCAGCTGCCTTTTGAGCAGCCTGCTCTGCACGGGAGCCACACCCCCAGCTCTCGCCAGTACACAGGCTCAGGCAGCTGCGAAACTGCAGAGCCTGCACCTGTGTCAGCATCTGTGTTTGGGTCTCTTCCCTGCTGCCACCCATCTCTGCTCCTGTAGTAAGTGTTGGGAGCACTTATCAGGGTCTGGGACATGCTGGGGGGGGTGGGGGGGGAAGCTCCTGCCTCCCTTCTCACAATATATGTAACACTGTGTGTGTGTGTGTGTGTATATATAGTAACACTTTGTGTGTGTATATATGTATAGACATAAGGAACACGTGTGTGCGCGTGTGTATGTACAAGTAACACTTTGTGTGCATCTGTGAGTGTTTATGTATATAACACTTTGTGTGTGTAATATAAAAGCCTACGTTTGTCTGTCTGTCTGTCCGTAATGCTTTATTCGCGCTGCGATTGGCTGACGGAAACAGTCAATCAGAGTGCTTCAAGTGTGTGTGTGGGGGGGGGTGCCATCATGATTTCCAAGCCATGCCAAGGACTGAACAGAGGCTAGCCTTGGCTCCCCCACCCCACTCCCCGCAAGAGGCAGAACAGTGGCAGCATGGGGTGTTAGGTGGCATCATTCCATCCCAGCCCCCTCCCCATCATTCTTGACAGGCAGTTGGGGGGGGGGTGGCAGTGCACTTGCAGTGCCTGTCACTTTAAGGGCTGAGTCAGGCACCCAGCAGGTTCTTGATTGCAGGAGCCATTTTAGAACACTGGCATTGCAGCAGCCATTTTAGAACACTGGCTGCCTATATAAACAGAGCAGATTGCTGCTGGCAGAGCAGGCAGAAACATCGCCTGGCTGAACTGCTGAATGGAACATCTGCAGGTAGAAGCCAGAGGCTCTTGGTCCTGGGCATGATCTAAAACTGCACCCTGCTGGGAGTGGGTGGTTTGGTGGGCCTCCCATTGGTGCAGGAGCCACCAGAAAATACCAGGCCAGTTACCACCCTGGTGGAAGGTGAGCCGGGGTGCCTGAATAACCTCTAGCCCCCACATCACTGTTGGTAGAAGTCGGGGCCTGGCAAGGCTATGGCTACCTGAGCCTCTACCAGGGAGGGAAGCCCCATAACCCCAGTGAGGGGGCAGATGTGGATCCCCTGTGAGGGGGTGGAAGTGGAGCCCCAGTGAAGGAGGGAAAACAGGGCTGGGAGCCGTGTGTGTGTGTTTGTGTTTTTCTGTAGAGTTGCCCCAGGAGGGGCCAGGGCAAGCTTGGCCCAGGTTGGGTAATTGGCTGGCCACTACCCTGCTGAGGGTTGTGGGAGAGTCCCAAAAGATGGTACATCTGCCACCCAAACTGCGCACTAGATAAAGAATATGGCCTAACGGGGCCACTCCGAGAGGGAGCAAAGCGGTATAAGTTGCTGATGCGTGAAAGAGACCCTGTGAGAGGGGATGGAGTGTGAGAGGCCCTAGTGAGAGGAGGGTGGTATGACTGCATGTATGAATGAGGCCTGACAATGAGGGCTAAGCTTGGTCCAGCTGTAGGCCAGGAGCATTGTGTCACCTGGATGTCATCTGCGAGGCTTGAGCTGCAGTGTAGGGGAGGATAGGAGCCATAGAAAGCACTCCCTGGCATCAGGGCAAGACTGGGCAGCCTCCCACCTAATTAAAACCAATTATGAAACAAGGCATGGCAGAAGAGTGAGGCTGGCGATTAGTCCAGGAACAGGTGGGCAGGCCAGTGGCGGACTGGTCCCAAGAAGGCCCCTATTACAGTGTGTGTGTGTGTGTGTGTGTGTGTCTGTATGTGTATATATATATTAAATAACACGTATATTAAGTAGCACTTTGGCACCTACTTGTATATAGTAAAAAACTTTTTTTTTGCAAAAAAAAATTATACACACACACACACCCCTCTACAAATCTTTCTAATGACCAATATGGTTCACTTGGCAGTCCAAACCATGCCTTTATAGTTGCATCATTTTCATTCCTGTTACAATAACTGTGTCATGTGTCCATATGCCCATTACCATCACCTTTCTCCATCATAATCATGGAAAGGACTGCCTCAGCACCTTCTTTCCCACCTCCCTCCCCCCCGCCCCTCCTGCATCCCATTTGTCATTATCACCATGACTGTCATTGTCTCTCATTGTCAGTCTCTGCAGTGGTGGCCCCACCTCTGAACAGTCCCAGTGACCCTAATGAACCACTGTAAGGTGCAGGCAGTGGTAAGGGCAAGAGGCACTTTGTCACCTGTGGATTTACTACCTAGTGACAGCTGCCAAACTGTGTGGGAGCAAATCTTCCACAAAGACCTGTAGAAGGATCACAGGGATTTGAACCGACAGGTAGCCCACTGGGCAGTCATGTGGGCATGGAAAAACAGTGAGGGGCAGAGAAGCCCATCAAACTGCTCCAGGCAAACCCGCCAGTGGAAAGCAAAAATAACTGACCAACTTCTCTGGTGCTGCCCCTCTGTCAGGAAGGTGTGGAGGAGAGTAATTGTACTCCTCCTGATGGTGACAGAGGTCAAGACCCTGACGAAAGAGGCAGTGCTGTTTGGTCACCTGAACAAGCAGCAGAAACCCTCGATAGCTTGCTTTGACCAGTTCACTCCCATGCTTTAGGAGTGTTGTGTAGAAAACTAGAACCTGCTCATAAACAAACACACAAACCTCTGAGTTGAAAACTACACATCAGGATGGGACTGAGTAAGACACAGGGATACTACAGAAAGATGGTTGAAGATGACTGGGAAGTGATGGTGGAGATCATATGGAAGAGAAAGTACTGGCACAGACTGTTCAGAGGCAGGACCACCACTTATACAGAATATAAGCTATGCATGATGTGGAAGAATCCTATTCCAGCCTCCAGCTTTCAGGGATTTTTTGTTCTGTTTCCCTTTTGTCTCTCATGTGTCTATCACCTGATTGCCTTGGGTTACTGTGTATGTGACTGACCGCAAGTATGAGGGAGGGAGATTGACCTCCCTAAGGTTTGAGCTCTGACCTCAAGACTTGGGGGCAGGGGCTTGAGTCTAGGTCAAGGTGTGCTGCTTTTCAAATTGATTGGTCAGCATAAAACAATACCTGGCTGTGATTGGAGTGAACAGGTGAGGTCACAAGGGGCCATTTAAAAGAGAGGCTTTTCAGGAAGAAAGGGGGCCATGTTGGGACTTTCACATAGCAGATTGAACCTCTGCAATTCTCACCCACTTCTGGGATGCTGAAGGGAGTAAATTACCAGAAACTTAACTAGAAAGGTAGCTTCTAGTAATTTAGAAGCGTTTTAAATAGCTATCAGACCGGTTCTGTTTGCTCTGGGTATTCTTTTGATATTTCTCTGATTTGTACCCCTCCCCAAGCCTACCCTCTCTACCCAGTAAAGCTATCCACTATAACAAGCTTTGTGGTACCTGCTTAGGAGGGAATGGGTATGCCTTTGCATTCCCTTGGCTCAACTGACAAAGGGAGGCTACTTTCTGGGCATCGGGTTAAAGGAAGCACTCCAAGATCTCACAGAGCATCGAGTGCCCTCAAGGTCTACAGGACCTGTCCACCCTGGGGGAGCACAAGGCCCAGGCAACGATCGGACCCTGGGGGCTGGCACCAGTCCCCCAAGCTTGTGAGTGTGCTCCAGGAAGAGGGTCAACCAGTCATAGGTGCCCCAGGGGAGACACTCAGAGCTTGATAGGTGGTTGGATGCAGTAAGGTGGGTAGCTCAGCGCAGAAGCACCCCTTCCTGGCCAGCCACACATGATATTAGTCCAAAGATGAAAGACTCATGATTTGCCATATAGTTCACTGGGCTGGGCCCCAGCAGTGTCAACAGCATTTCAAAGTCATGGTGACCCCACAGCTCAGCACTGCTCCTTATGTGTGTGTATTCCAGATACCTCCCACAAAGGATCCATGTGCTACATAGCCCCCGACTCATGATTGGAACTGAGTGTTCTTGTTATGAGCCCTGGATCCTCCAACACTTTATATGAAGATGAAGCATAGGATAACCTGGTTTGTCATCACCTCATGGATGGGCAGGGCCATGCTAATCATATGTGACAGGGTGAGAGAGGGGCCGACAGCAGGATTCTGGATGAACTGCTTAGGGCTCTATTTGGTGATGTTTGCCAGACATTTAAGGCTGGTTAAGAAACAGGAATAATTGGAAATGGGAAAGAAAGGTGCAGTTCAGCTGTGGGACTGAAGAGGAAGTTGAAATGTATTCAGTATAGTGGCCCACCATGACTTGCAAAAGAGTTAGTTCTGAGGGGGACTGTTCAATGGGCATTACTATATAGCTTATTCAGAGTTACACTAATCTATTGTGGTAGGTTCAGGGAAATACCATGATTACCATGGTGGTTTTTCCAGGGACAGGGGATAATCCACTTTTCTAGTATGGGGTAGTATCCACGAAGGTAATGTGTAGTTACCCTCCCATGTTCATTGCTCGTGGGAAGATCTTGGTTTTACGCCCATTTTATGGAAATGGGAGACTCTTCCCTAGCTTGCTCCTGCAGCCATATGGCTGAGGGCAAGCGAAACTCAGGGGCATCCAAGCCTCTGGGCTTGGGCCTGCATGTAGGATGCCTGCCAAATGATTTGGAAACATCTGAAGCCCCAGGTGGGGATGGAGGATATTTGCCGGTAGTAGGGCCACATATGGTTCTTGAATGACTCTAGATTTGGAATTGCTTTGGCTGATTTGGCTTGAAACACAAAAAAATACCCTGTCTCAGGTAATGCAATTAAAATGACACTGTAGTGGAGGGTGGCACCCTTGTCTGCTTGCAGACATGACTCCCTACAAGAGCCTCATAGTTAGTTTTCCACTGGCTAGCTTCCAGTGGGAAGAATCTTAACTACATGCTGACTTTATGGAAATGGGAGACTTCTCCCTAGCTTGCTCCTGCATCCATGTGACTGAGGGCAAGTCAAACTCAGGAGCATCCAAAACCCAAGCTTCTGGGCCTGAGCCTGAATATAGGATGCCTACCAAAGGATTTGGAAGCATCTGAAGACCCAGGCAGGGTGAAGGACATTTGCCAGTAGTAGGGCAGCTTTTGGTTCTTGAATTTGGAATGGATTTGGCTGGGTTTGACTTGGAACATGAAACATTTTCCGTAAAAAAAAAAAAAAAAAAAGAAAAAAAAAGTTCCCATCCCAATATGGAGCACCTGAACATCATATGTAGAGTCAAGTTGTCAGTGGAAAGAATGCTACAACACACCCACATACAGCAGCAGCAGGGGCCAAGCTCAATATGAGCAAAAGCACCTGCCTAGTTCTGGGTGAGCTTGGGGACCTGCCACCCCTGGGAGTTTCTGTCCCCCGTGAGGGGGTAAAAATCCTCAGGGTGAAGTTTGACTCAGAACTGATGAGGCAAAGGGCATGGGAAAAGACGGAGGCCAAGACCAGACAGAAACTGGGGCTATGGTGGCACTCACACTGCCTGTCAATGGGGGTGGAGGGGGTGGGGAGAGGGACATGGCACTGATGAAGGCAGTGCAACTGCTGATACTTCTACACACCACCCTAATTTCTCCCCCCCGCCGAACAAGTTGTGTGTAGAATCCAAAGAGCCACATGTGTTTTCTTTTGGAACTCCACATGGGAGAAGGTGGCAAGGGCCAGGCTGTACAAAGTGAAATGGTCCGGAGGCAGAGGAATGCCAGATGTCTCCCTCTTCCTCTGGGCCAAGTACATGAGCCAGGTTTGCAAACTGGCAATGGGGTAGAATCCAAGACAGCCAGCTTTGTCAAATATTTTGCAGGGCACCTGCTGCAACAGTGGCAGATGTACATGATGACCAATAGGAGCCTGTGGTCCATGCTGTCCAATTGGTTCTATAAGGTCCTGAAAAGCTTTCAGGAGAAATACAAGCTGCATGACACTACCCTGGTGAACCACCACAAGATACGGGAGGTGGTAAAGGCAAGAGACATCGAATTGCCCATGGACTTTCTACCTGGTGACAGCTGCCAGGCTGTGTGGGAGAAAATCTTTGAGAAGGACCTACAGAAGGAGCACAGAGACCTAAATTGGTAGGCAGCCCACCAAGCACTCCCTGTACAGGCATGGAAAAACAGCGCAGGGCAGAAAGGTCCATCAAACTGCCCGAGACCTACCACTGGCAGAGTTCCCTCTAAGCTGCATAGCATGAAGAGCCACGCAGATGCACTCATGCTGCACTGCCAGGCATGCCTGTGTGGCCATGCACACTGCATAGCTTAGAGGGAACGCTGGAATGACTGACCACCTCTTCTGGGATTTCTCCTACACCAGAGACGTGTGGGAGAAAGTCAGGGAACTCCTGGTGGTGACAGGTTTCAGAACCCTGAACAGAGAAGTGGTTCTCTACGGGCACTTCACCAAACAACAAGGGGCCCTGACAGTCTGCTTTGACCAGTTCATCTCCTGCTTCAGGTATGCCCTGTGGAAAGCCAGGAACCTGCTCATGAACAGGCACTCAGACCCCTCAGTCAAGGACTGCATTAAAATGGGTACTGGTACTACAGGAAGACAGAAGAGGATGACAGGGAAGAAATGGCAGACCTCATATAGTGGAGAGGGGCACAGACTTTTTCAGAGGCAAACCCTCTGAAAGAACAAGAACACCTGGACAAGGGAGAAGAGATTGATGTCATATATCTTGACTTCAAAAAAGCCTTCGATCTGGTGTCCCATGATCACCTCTTGGAGAAACTGGCCAATTGTCGCCTTGGGTCCTCCACGATCCGCTGGCTGGAAAATTGGCTCCGGGGTCGGACCCAGAGGGTAGTAATCGATGAAAGTCACTCATCGTGGTGTCCTGTGACCAGTGGGGTCCCCCAAGGCTCTGTCCTTGGACCCATACTGTTCAACATCTTCATTAATGATGTGGACACTGGAGTCAGAAGTGGACTGGCCAAGTTCGCCGATGACACCAAACTTTGGGGCAAAGCATCCACACCAGAAGACAGGCAGGTTATCCAGGCTGACCTGGACAGGCTCAGCAAGTGGGCAGACGAGAATCTGATGGTGTTCAACGCCGATAAATGCAAGGTTCTCCACCTTGGGAAAAAAAACCCGCAGCATCCTTATAGGCTCGGCAGTGCTATGTTGGCTAGCACTATGGAAGAAAGAGACTTGGGGGTCATCATTCACCACAAGATGAACATGTGCCTGCAATGTGATGTGGCGGCTAGTAAAGCGACCAAAATGCTGGCTTGCATCCATAGATGCTTCTCAAGCAAATCCCGGGACGTCATTCTCCCCCTGTACTCGGCCTTAGTGAGGCCGCAACTGGAGTACTGTGTCCAGTTTTGGGCTCCACAATTCAAAAAGGATGTGGAGAAGCTTGAGAGAGTCCAGAGAAGAGCCACGCGCATGATCAGAGGTCAGGGAAGCAGACCCTACGATGACAGGCTGAGAGCCCTGGGGCTCTTTAGCCTGAAAAAGCGCAGGCTCAGGGGTGATCTGATGGCCACCTACAAGTTTATCAGGGGTGACCACCAGCATCTGGGGGAACGTTTGTTCACCAGAGCGCCCCAAGGGATGACGAGGTCGAATGGTCACAAACTACTTCAAGACCGTTTCAGGCTGGGATGCTTATCTTGCTGGGATTCTATGAACCCAGCTGACTTCCTGCCCTTTGGGCGGGGGGCTGGACTCGATGATCTTCCAAGGTCCCTTCCAGCCCTGATGACTATGAAACAAGGAGTGATACCACTGGAATGGTGAGAGGTACGCGGGTGTGTGGTACAAACTCTACTGGGACTATAATAGTGTAACTGTCAAAATATGTTTTGATCTGCCAAGTGAACCACAGTGGTTACTTGGCAGGTTGTTAGAGGTACAGTTATAGATACATAGATCTGCAAAAAAACCCCAAAAATCCCAATATGGGCCATGTATCTTACAGTTACACTCAGTGTTGACTGCATTTAATCAACTTCATAGTTGGTTTCTATTATTGAGTATATGCCGCTTTTAGCAGATAAGGTTCCTTGGGTGAATCTGATATCTTTTATTAGACCAACCCAAATAGTTGGAGAATAGTTATTAAGCAAGCTTTTGGGTTCAAAAACCCTTCGTCAGGCTAAGGAAGTTTCAGCAGTTGGTGCGTGCTCTTCCTGGATGGATGGAATGAAAAGTAAAGAAGCCAGAGGCTGGGCTGGGGAGTCAGTTGTCAGGCAGATTATAATGCGTCATAAATCCAATGTCTATATTTAGTCCATGATTTTTAGTATCCAGGAGGTTGATGAAGTGGAGTTCATAGGCTCGTCTCTGGGAAGTGTTGTGTAAGTTTCCTTTGAGGATCAGGACTGAGAGATTGGAGAGAGAGTGGTTTTCTTGTGAGAAATGTGCCCCCACAGGTAAGTGGGTATTTCTGTCTTTGATAGATTTCCGGTGTGCATTCATTGTGGTGCGCAGTTGTTGTTTGGTCTCTCCTACATATTTTCCATCAGGGCATTTGGTGCATTGGATGAGGTATATTACACTTCTGGAGGTGCAGCTGTAATATCCAGGGATGCTGATGGCTCTGTTGTGGGGTGTAGTAATTGTGGAGGTGGTGGAGATGTGTGGGCAGGTTTTGCATTTCTTGGCACGTCTTGCGGAGTCCCCCAGGGCTCGGTCCTTGGGCCCACACTGTTCAATTTCTTTATCAGCGATTTGGACGATGGGGTGAAAAGCAACCTGTTCAAATTTGCTGATACCAAAATTTGGGGTAAGGTGGGCACGTTAGCAGGGAGGGAAAGACTGCAGAAAGACCTGGATAGGTTGGAGGGGTGGGCTAACAAAAACAGGATGCGTTTCAATACTGACAAGTGCAGGGTGCTGCACTTGGGCAGTAGTAACCAGCAGCACACTTATAAGATGGGAAACTCCCTTCTTGAGAGCATGGAGGCAGAAAGGGATCTTGGAGTCGTCATTGACTCCAAGATGAACATGGGCCAACAATGCGAGGCCATGGTCGGCAGGGCTAACCGGACCTTATCGTGCATCCACAGGTGCATCTCAAGTAAGTCCAAGGAGGTGATCCTTCCCCTCTAGGCGACACTGGTCAGGCCACAGCTGGCGTACTGTGTCCAGTTCTGTGCACCCCACTTCAAGAGGGATGTGGACAACATTGAGAGGGTGCAGAGGAGGGCCACCCGCATGATCCGGGGACAGCAGGGCAGACCCTACAATGAGAGCCTACAGGACCTGAACCTGTTCAGCCTTCACAAGGGAAGGCTGAGGGGGGACCTGGTGACCGCCTATAACTCACTAGGGGGGACCAGAAGGGGTTGGGGGAGACCTTGTTTCCCCTAGCGCCCCCCAGGATAACAAGGAATAACGGCCACAAGTTGTTGGAGAGTAGGTTTAGATTAGACATCCATAAGAACTACTTCACAGTTAGGGCGGCTAGGATATGGAACCAACTTCCAAGGGAAGTGGTGCTGACTCCTACCCTGGGGGTCTTTAAGAAGCGGCTTGATGCCTACCTGGCTGGGGTCATTTGAGCCCAGTTTTTCTTCCTGCCCAGGCAGGGGGTTGGACTTGAAGATCTACAAGGTCCCTTCTGACTCTACTTCTATGATTCTATGATACACGTGCAATGCTGCAGAGTAAAAAACCCTGCACAATAGTACTTATATTTATAAGTACTATTCTGCTGCAGAGTGAATTAGTTTATTCCAGCCTAATAGGGATGCACATGTAGATGCACAGCAGTTACTGCAGGGCTAATTTAATCTACTCCGCAGTAAATGTCTCATGTTGATGTGTTCTCTCTCTCTCTCAGTTGCCTTGGAAAAAATGGGGAAAACAACACTGCCCTACTACTGGCATGCCATGAGGATAAGTACATGCAAGGTAATGAGGCACTCGGACACTATGATATGGGGAGTCAGAAAAGTACCTTTGGGAGGTAGATGGATAAGACTAGATTCGTGCTTCTCTGTGTGTAGGTTTGCCTTCTGTAACAGGTGGCCGCTCTGTTCCAGGCTAAAATGGGGCCCACCCACCTGTTCTGGGGCAACCGCCCGCCTTCTCTCCTGCCATGCCTTGCTGTTAATTAATTGATTGATGTTAATTAGCAGGAGGCTGCCCTTATACTGCCCCGCTGCCAGGGGGCGCTATCTGCGGCTCTGTTTCCTCCCCTACACCACAGTCCACACCTCGCTGATGAAATAGCTGTTATGTCTTGGCTTTATCAGAATCAGGCCCCCTCTTTGGGCCTTCTCAAGTGTTGTCCCCTCCTCTGGGCTCGCCACGCCCGCTCTGGGCTTCTCAACAGTGCCCTCTCTCTGGGGCTCGCCACACCCACTCTGGGGCTTTTCAACAGTGCCCCTCTCTGGGGCTCGCCACGCCTGCTCTGGAGCCCCTCAACAGTGCCCCCTCTCTCTGGGGCCAGGGTCTATGTACCCCGTACACTGCGCCCCTAAGGGCGCTGGGGTCCCCATGCTATTGTGGGTCCCCTATGAGGCCTCCTCCAACCCCCAATAGCCTCACCCAAACCACCGGGCTAACAAACAACAACATAAACACAAGCCCTTTGGCTATAACAAAAACAGAAGCCAAACGGCCCAAACACCATTTGGTCCTACCAGTGACCCTTTAAGACTCAGATGCAGCCCCTGCATCAGGTTTCCCCTCTCTCCCAGGGCAGAGCTCCTTCCTCTTGGATAGCTGGCAGGGAACTGCCTCTGGCCTCCTGTCTGTGCTTTATATAGGAGCCAGGCCCTGCCCCTTTCTGTCAGCTGACCTCCTGGTTGCCCTGGCAACCCACAGCTGGGCTCCTTATTTCCTGCTAGGGCTCTTTCCTTGGCAGTTTCCCCTCTCTAGGAGCAGGGCACCTCTGTGCTCTGTGACACCTTCCCAGTTCAGTGTCCAGAAATACAGGATTAGCTATATCACTGCACCACAGTAGGCCAGTGACCTATTCCTGATTCTTTAGTGGAAGGCAAAAAACCTGAAAATCCAACAAACAGTGCAGAAAGCCGTTGTATATAGGTGGGAATATTCCTTTTTGGGCCCTTGAGTGCCCTGCTGGAGCCATAGACAGTGGGTACATGTGTAAATGCTGTGGGGTGGGTTTACTCTAGCGTAAATTACTCTAGAGTTAAACCTGTGTTATTCTGGATCTTAGGAAGAAGTAGAAAGACTCTTTGTCCTCATTAAGCCTTTATTGTAACAACTAACTCCTGACCCTAAATGGCTGATGACCACTTCCTGCGGATGGCATCACTCTGCATCTCCCTTTCTCAAAGGAAAACTTGAAGCCCAGTTACAAAAGGAACCTAAACAAAGCAGAAACATTGGTAAATCTATTTTTTTAGACCTGACTAATTCACAATATTCTCTTTGGTGGAACTGAGGTGCGTCCAGACCTACTGTGGTAAACAGGTGGAATTTGGCAGATTCCTATGGAGAAGATTCCTACGGAGAAGACCACCAGGTGTCTCCACCCAGTATGAATGAGGAGTATCTTCCCTAACCTGGACAGTGCCTTGAACCTCTGGATCTGGTGTTGGCTACAAATGTCCAACTCGGGATCCTTAAAAATTCTGGTTTATTAGGCAGACTGAAGCACTGTAATGAAGTTAAATCATAAACCTTGGGGCTGGTCCCCCCCCACACACACACACATGCACACACACACAGTAGCAAGCTACAAGAGTCAGGTATGCCTATCCCACAGGCGCTGCAGTCTGCTGTCGATGGCCAGTCGAGGCTTCTTCCAGCGTGGTGTTATCCTCCAGAAGGGGGTCGCCAGCTGGTCCTTCTGGCTGGACAGGTCGGGGCTGGTCAAGTTGGAGATCAAGAGGGCACCACCGAGGGTCACTTTTCACTGCTTTTTATCTGTCCTTGGCAGACTTTGGTGACTCCCCAGTTTTCAGGTTTGCCCAATCCAGGGGTTGTTGACCCTCGTAGGACTTCCCCCTCGGTGGCTACTGGATGGCATCTGTCAGCTCCAGGGGTCGTCCGCATGTACGTGCAGGTTTTGGAGTCGTCCCTGTCATTGATTAACTCAGACCAGGGCTTCTAGCCCTTGAACAGTGATGTTTAGAGATTTCCCAGTTGTTATGTTGTCTTCTATTGATTTCTTCCGTTGGTTGATCTGAGGTTTTCCTAGATGTTAATTGCTGCCTGCTACTGTGTTACGCATTCAATCACTGATTCACTCGCTCTTTCAGGGGCCCGCCTGATACAGGGAGCGGCAGTTTGACTCCTGCCCTTGTTAACATTGTTACTAAACACATTTAGTTGAAAGGTGAGGAGTATAAAATATAAGCTACAAATGCCATGGCACACAAATAGATAAAAATACCAAAATACAAGGGGAAATACAAAATGCACACATACAAATTTTAAAACACAATTCCTTATCTTAAAGTGAAAGAAAGAGGAAGGAAGAAAAGGTAGAAAAAGAGAAACATATCCAA